GCGCCAGAAAGCGCACTGCCGCGGAAGCACGCGAGGCCCCGAGTGGCTCCACGCGCGGCCCCCCGAATCCTCGACGCCATCCCCGCGGGGCCAGTGTTCCACCCGAGCTGTCCTTCGACGGTCCCGGGGCCCAGTGAGCCGGGCGAAGAGAGCTGTGCACGTGCACCGGTCCTGGCCAGGCCCGTCCTTGGCCCCGGGAGCGGTGCATGTGCCTGCCTGGCCAAGGCAGGAGGGCGCATGCACCGATTTGGGGCTCAGGATGGACCTGGCCAAAGCCGGTGTGTGAGAGAGAGAATGTGTGTGTGAGAGAGAGAGAGAGAGAGAGAGAGAGAGAGAGAGAGAGAACGTGTGTGTGTGTATGTGTGTGCATGGTTCTTTCTCCTCCAGTGAGGGCTCCTGGGCCCCAGGGCGGCGGGCGCGGACACGCCCCCGGCGGCGCGAGGGGGGCGGCCGCCGCCGCGCGCGGCGGGCCAGGCGCCCCGCCGCGGGGGCGCGGGGGCGGCGGTCGCCCCGCGCGCCCTGCAGCGGCAGGGGCCGGGGGCGGGCGCCGCCCCCCGCGCGCCTGGCGCGCGAGGGGCCGGGGGCCGAGGGCGGGGGGCCGAGGGGCGGGGGGCCAAGGGCGGGGGGCCGAGGGCGGGGGCCGAGGGCGGGGGCCGAGGGCGGGGGGCGAGGGCGGGCAGGAAGCCCGCGAGGGCGGGGGCCGAGGGCGGGTGCCCCCCCCCGCGCGGCTGGGCGGGCCTCTTCGGCGGGGGGCTCCCCTGCCACCGCCGCGCCAATGTCGAGCCGTAGGGTCACTGCCTCGCTCTCCTGGGGCGTGGCTGCGCTCCTGCTCGTTGGCGTGTGCCGCGCGTGCGGAGCTGCACGGTCAGTGCCGCGCTTTCCGGTGGCTCCGCTGCGTTCCTGCTCGCAGCGCGCACCGCCAGAGGCGGCGGAGAGCTCGAGAGATCCACCTGGTCGCGAAGGAACCGCAGTTGCCAGGGTCCCTGGGTGCCTCGACGCTGAGATGGCTTGCGCGAACCATCTAGTAACCGACGGGCCCGGGATACCCCGGGTTTCTTCGCTGGCAGCCGCTACGCAAGAAACCAGCCCCTTGCCCAAGAAGCTTCGGCGATGTTGCTAGGTTGGGTTTCTTGCGACGGCCGGCGACGACGACGGCCGACGACGACGACGGCCGACGACGATGGCCGACCACGACGACGACGAAGAAGGACCGATGACGACGGACCGACAACGACGGACCGAGGACGACGGACCGATGACGACGACTACGAAGAAGGACGACGACGGACGACAGGCGACAGACGACCGACGACGACGACGAAGGAGGACTACGACGGACGACGGACGACGACGGACGACGGACGACGACGACGACGAAGAAGGACGACGACGGACGACGGACGACGACGACGGACGACGGACGACGACGACGAAGAAGGACGACGACGGACGACGGACGACGACGACGACGGACGACGGACGACGGACGACGGACGACGGACGACGGACGACGGACGACGACGACGACGACGACGACGACGACGACGACGACGACGACGACAGCGTACATTCTACAAGGCGGCTCCAAGTGGCCACGGAGCCTCCCACAGAAGCCCCCAGGAGGCCAGAGTCGTCCCAAGACCCTGTGTTGTTCAACGCTTGTTGCCTTCTCACCCTGTCGCTTCCGACGGGCTCCTGAGGCCTCGAGAGGGCTCCGGCATGGCTCAAGACGGCCCAAGGAGGGACGGGCTCCTCCTCCTCCCTGCCGACGCCCGCCCGCCGCTGCCCTGCCTGTCTCTATCTCCCTCCCTCGAGTATGGTTGCGACGAGGAGGAGGAGGAGGAGGAGGAGGAGGAGGAGGAGGAGGAGGGGAGGAGGAGGAGGAGGCAGGGAGGAGGAGGAGGCGGAGGAGGGAGGAGGAGGAGGAGGAGGAGGAGCAGGGAGGAGGAGGAGGAGAGGCAGGGAGGAGGAGGAGGAGGAGGAGGAGCAGGAGGAGGAAGGGGAGGAGGGGAGGAGGTAAGGAGGGAGGAGGGAGGAAGGAGGGAGGCAGGGAGGTACGGAGGAGGCAGCAGGGAGGGAGGGCCCTCGCCCCCCCCGGCCCGCCCCCCCCCCCCCCCCCCACCCCTCTCACCTGCTCCTCTGCCACATTGCAACAATATGAAAAATACTACTTTCCACCCTTACCTTTATACTCTCCCCCACTTCCCCTGATGGCGTCCCGAAGATGGCTGACCCCCCCCCGCGTATTGTTTTTTTACACAGGATTCCCGGGAAACGGGTTTTCGCCTGCGTTTTTTTTTTTTTTTTCAAAATGTTGCTCTCGCAGAGGCGCCGGCCTCATTTCTGCTCCCGAATCGTTCCGAATCGTGCTCCCGCTGCAGCGTGGGCCTCATTTTCAGATCGGTGTTTGGCCTCCGTCGTTCAGGATGGCGTTCTCGCCCCAGCGCGGGCCTTTTTCTCGCGCGCCCATCCGCCCGCCACCACCGCGCCGCACCGCCAC